TGGGAAATTAACAAAAGAAAGAAAAAGAGAAGGGGAAAAAGGCCTACCTTGCTGACAGAGAGAGAGAGTCACTGCGGTTGGAAAACCAAATCTGGAGCTGGGACAAGGAGGCCCTGCCTCAGTGTCCCTTAGGCCAGGGGTCTGGAGATGAAATGGGCTCTGCTGAAGAGCTGGGGGTACTCCTATGGGGTAAGGAGAAGGGGGAAATTCTTTAGTCATATTCTTAAAGAAATTTGTGATTTTCTCCCTGTATTAATGATCCTCTTTTAAAATAATCTCTGTTCAGACAACAGTGTCATCATCCAGCTAAATGACACCTCATCTCACTCACAAGACCTTCAAAGCCTCTCTTTATTGTTTGGACATGATTTGCTTAAGCAGAGAAAAAAACACATTCAAAGTTTTCTGAAGCCCTGGGAACATTATTCACACTAGCTCTGTGTACCATTGCAGGAGAATCTCTGAATTGGAACCTGGGTCTATAAAGTTATGTCTTTTGGCTTGGCTGAAGAATTTACGCTGAATCACATGACTTGATAGTATTTCCTAACGCTGTCCCCTCTGTTTAGGTACCAATGGAAGAACTACAGATATGTATTGGCCTTTTACTTTGCCATTGAGCAGATCAATAAAAGTCCCCATTTGCTCCCCAACCTCTCCCTTGGTTATGATTTGTACAATGCACTTCCCAGTGATAAAAATACTTTAGAAAGTGCTCTATTTTTGCTCACTGGAGGGTATCAGTCCCTGCCAAACTACAACTGCCAGATACAGAAAAAGCCAGTTGCTATTATTGCAGGAAACATGCCAACATTTTCAGCCCAAGTTGGAACCCTATTGGAGCTCTACAAAAGTCCACAGGTAAGTGGGTAATCAGGTTAAAGAATGAAAATTGGATAGCTCCTAATGTAATCTTCTTAGATCTGAGTGAAGAAGACATGGAAACTGGGTTTACATACATCTAGAGGCCCTCAGCACTTCTCTTCGTTGGTTGAACACAATTTGCTTAAACAGAAGTAAAGAGAGACAGGTTCTTTCCTGGGTCATGGGCCTATTAACAGTACAAGAATTAGAAAGAAAAAGAACTGCAGTAGGCCAGCTGGTTATATGGTGGCTAATGTGCCTGGATTTCACTTAGCTAACTGCATGACTCAAGACTTGATTTTGCTATCCTTAAGAACACACTGGATGGGCGTATTGCGTGCGTGCCCAAGATCCCGAGAGGAGAATGGAGGAGAAGGGACTGCGGCGTGACCATCCCCCCTGGGGGGTGATTTCTCGCTTTCTGTCTCTATGTCTCTCTCTCGCGAATGCACGCACCCTATTAAAAAAACCTCTCCAAAAAAAGAAGAAAAAAAAAAAAAAGAACACACTGGGCATATGTGCTTGCAAGCCCCAAATCCCAACATAAAAGGGATATTGGTATGACCTTCCCCTATGAGGGGTGATTTCTCACTATCCCTCTATCTCTATGTGGCAAACACATAATTTAATTTGTCCTATGATAAATTAAAAATAAAAAAGAAGTTAAATTTGTTAAGTTCCACCTATATTTCTTTCCATAGCCATGACATCCAAACCACAGTAATGGGAATATTGATGGTTCTCTTAAAGATGCTTTCTAAAAAGTGCACACAGTATAGGGAACTATTCGATCTTAGGACAGGACAGTATTAGAGGCATTCAGAGGACAATTAGACACAAAAATATAAAAACCTTTGTATTCATTATCACTTTGGACAAATAAATAATACTCCAAGACTGGAGATCCTCCAAACTCATGAAATGGCTTAGTTCCCCCAGGTGAGGTTTACCAGCTCCCTCTGCCCTTCCTCACACCCATGCAGGTGGTTCTCTTGGAATCACTTCCAGTTACTGTCAGCAGGACAGCTCTCCACCTCAGAGGTTCTTCCAGGGAAACTGTCTTATTAAAGGTTTCATGAGACTTTACTAGTAAACACAGCATTAGCATAGAATAATTATGTTGTAGAAAAAAAATATTTTAAAAATATCATAAAGACTATATGCTTGAGTTATCAAGACAGTATATTTTAAGGTGTGTTGATAAGATACAGTATGAAAAATTTAATACATATTTTTTTCTCAGAGTCTAATATTTTAAACTTGGCATCTAGAAAAGGAAGCCTCTGATCCACATTGTCACATGGGCCAGGAAGGCAGAATCACCATCATATTGTTGCACCATCTTTATAAAGTTTATGCATACCTCAGTTCTCACTGTAGGCAATAAAGCATGTATTGAACCTTATAGTTTTTCTTTCATGCTTTGGTCTGGAAGCGATATTGTTACCTGTACTAGTCACATATCCTTTTTTTTTTTTTTTTAAAGGGATTGAAAACAGTCTTCTAATGGTCATATTGACAAAATAGAATCATTTCCACAGCATGTAAACTCTTCACTCAATAGTTTGTTCTATTGTCTAAACAGGTAGAGAATTAGCTCCTCCCTGTTTAAGTCAGAAAATTCTTGAAAATCACACTAAATTCAGAATCAAACTTTTTTTCTTGAGAGATTTTTGCTATAGGGCACGTGCACTCACCAGACAGACAGAGAGATAGAAAGCTAGAAATCACCCCCCATGGGGGATGGCCACGCCACAATCTCTTTTCCTCTATTCTCCTCTCAGGATCTTGGGCACGCATGTACACGCGCCTGATGTGAGTTTAAGCCACCAGGTCTGGGACTCGAACCGTGGTTGACTACATGGGAGTCCAGCGACATAGCGATTATGCCAACTGCTGGTCCAAGACTGGGGTTTCTAAAACTTGTAATGGATTTAGTTTCTACAGTCTGTCCAGGGAGAAAGAGAAGGTCATACTTACACTTTCATCTCTTTGAATCATCTCTTCTGCTTCAGGAACCAAAGATGAAACACCAAGTGCTTATAAGGTAGGAACCATGGACGTGTTTGCAAAAATGTTCATTGGAAATATACACATGGTTCTGAGCATGTACACTGTGTAGTGTTACAATTCTGTATTCAAACTAGGAAAATTGATGGTATGTTACATTCACTTACAAGCACACAAAATCCAAAATACAGTTCATCTTCTTTACCAAAAAAAGGGCAATTCACACTTTCCAAGGTGAGGGGCTCTGACTGCAAGGAGAACTAGGTCTGAGTAAAATTTTTGCATTGCCTTTTGACTGTCACCAAATAGGCAAAAACCTTTCCTTCTTTAGGATCTAAAATAAAATTAGTGTGTGAAGTGTATCAACTGAATAACACTTAGAAAGTTGCCCACTGACCTCGTTGGCCTACTGGCAAATCCAATCAGCACCCAGAAAAGCTCTGGTGCAGTCTGTGATAGGTAAATGACTAATACAAGATTCCTCCTTTCTCTAGAAACAGAATCCAATCTCTGCATGGAAAAGCCTTTGTAAATTTAATTTTATAACACATAACAGCACATAACATATACTAATTATTTTTTAATCAACTGATGCCCTGCATTTTTATGCTGTACAAGACACTTGTACATAGGTGACCGATGTACTTGGGAGGCCACATATTTTGCACAATATTGTATCTACATTTCACATGCAGAAATTTCAGGGTGGTTAGTTTAATATAAAAAAAATTTTAAAAAGGTTTTTAACTCATTTCCCTTACTGGCAAGTTTTGTAAATAACCCCTCCCCCCCCCTTATTTTAGTAAAAATTGAAAACAAACAAAAAAACTTCAGAAGTCTGAATTTTAGTTAAACGATCCCAATCTAGCATTTCACGTTGTTTATAAAAAAAAATATAAGGGTTTTTTTGTTTTGTTTTGTTTTTATTCAGGTCACATGTGGTCCTTTTGATCCCATCCTTAGTGATAAAGACCAATTTCCATCAGTTTATCAGATGGCCAACAAGGACACCTCTTCAGCTTATGGAATCATCTGGTTGTTGCTGCATTTTGGCTGGACGTGGGTGGCACTCTATGTATCTGATGATATGCAAGGGGAACAGTTTCTCCAGGATGTAAAGGCAAAGATGACAGAAAAGGATATCTGTGTGGCCTTTACAGAAAAGCTCCCTGCCACAAAAGGTGTCTTTTTATATCGTGAGTTTTTTGTTGTAAAGAGGATCAGAGTTTCATCTGCAAATGTGTATATAATATATGGTGATGAATGGAGTATCCTGACTATGGCATTCGAACAAAAGTTTAATTCAATTTTGGGAAAGATATGGATCATTAGAAATCTCCTCTCCATTGAGTTGGAAGATATTTTGCACAATTTGTGTTACATGCCATACACTTTCCATGGAAGCCTTTTTCTTTCAAACCAGAAAAGAAATATTTCTGGCTTTAAACAATTTCTCAAGACAGTCAATCCTTTCCAATACCCAGAAGATTTTTATTTCAGTAGACTTTGGGTTCTCTTTTTTAATTGCTCACTTACTGGGCCACTATGTAGCAAACTTGGAGATTGCCAACCAAACTCTTCCATAGAGTTGCTACCATTTAATTTTTACATGTTGCCAATGTCTGACCGCAGCTATTTTATCTATCGTGCTGTGCATGTGGTGGCCCAAGTTCTTCATCAGATGCTTCTGCAAAAAATAGAAATGGGATCTGAAGGAGAAGCAGACCAGCCTATTCTTCCCTGGCAGGTAAACATTCTTCACTAGCACTTGATGATATTTGGAGGCATTTTCTTTTTTATTTTTTAAAAAATATTTCTGCTATAGGTCATGTGCTTTCACCAAAGAGACATTATGAGAGAGAAAGAGAAATCATTCCCCAGGGGGTATGGCCACAGCACAATCCTTTCTACTCCATTCTCTTCCTGTGATTTGAGCACCAGGCATACACTCATAATACCAGGCATTTTTTTTCTACATTACAGGTCTGAGATTCAAACCAGTCAGTCATGTGGGAGTCCTCCTTAACCATCACATCACCTCTGGCCCCTGAAGTGATATTTTTTTAAAAAATTTATATTGGGAACCAGCATTTAGCGTAATGGCTATGTCGCTGGACTCCCATGTAGTTGACCGCGGTTCACATCCCAGACCCAGTGGCTTAAAACTCATGCCGGGTGCGTGTGCATGCGTGCCCAAGATCCCGAGAGGAGAATGGAGGAGAAGAGATTGCGGCGTGACCATCCCTTCTGGGGAGTGATTTCTCGCTTTCTGTCTCTATGTCTCTCTGTCTGTCTGGCGAGCGCACACACCCTATAGTGAAAAAACCTCTCAAAAAAAAAATTGTATTAAACTTTTTCCCTTAGGGCAAGTGTGCTTACCAGAAAGGAGAAAGACAGAAGAAAAGTGAAAATCACCTTCCAGGGAAACAGCCATGATGCATACAATCCCTTCTCTAGTCTCTTTTCGGGAAATTGGGCATGCTCAAACATGTGCTTGTCATGATTTTCAAACCTCCAGATATAGAACTCAAACTGTGCTAGGTAATGTGGAAACTCACCCTAACCACCAAGCCATCTGCCTAGGTATATTTTTTTGTGGTACTGGAAAAAATTATATAGAGAGCATAAACCTTTTTCTCTAAAGGGAGTTCTCCATTAGTTGTACATGATTGATCCACTCTGTGTGTCTGTGTTTTCTCGAATTGTCCTTGGAGGCTGGCTTCTTCCAACACCCTCTTTCTCCTCTGTCCCCTCAACTTCACCATGTCTTTCCCTGTCCTTAATTTTATAAATGATGTGAAGAGAAAGTATGGAAAGTAGTCACAATATAACCTTAACATAACTTAGAATGAACAGAGTTAAGATGGACAAAGTATTGGAAGAAATGTTAGAATATTGTAAAGTCAGAATGACCATTTGGGGAGCATCTGAGCAGCTGGGCTCTTTTACTGGAATGGATGACCTACAGGTGTCTGCAGTTATTCATTGGGCCTGTCTTAATCATAGCAGAATTAATTTTAATTTTTCTCATACTGTCTTCAAAAATCATGGAAGAAGAAACAGTTATCTAGTTTTAAAACATTGAACCGCTTTTGATGCATGTAGTCTCAGGATATCCTCTTTGGTTTATAAATAAGTTTATATTTTAAAGAAACACTACATCATGGAACCAGCAGGTGGCATCATGGTTAAGGCACCAGATTCTCACATGGCTGACTGTGTTTTGAATCCTGGGCCTCTCTCTCTTGTTTTCTGTCTCTCTTTGGTGGTACAAACGCCATATAGAAAGCCTTAAATAAATAATACTAATTAATAAAATAAAATAAATAATTTAAAAAACATAAGCAAGTTCATTAATTATGTGTAAAACATCCTTATCAAAAAGAGACAATAAATTAGATAAATTTATTGGACAAGCAAGTAGTTTTGTCAAAATGGTTACCTAGATATGTTAAAGATGATAGTACTTCCATTCCAAAAATGTAAGACCGGAGACCAGCAGTTGGCATAATGGCTATGTTGTTGGACTCTTATGTAGTACACCAGGGATCTAGTCTCAAACCTGTTGGTTTAAATTCATGCCAAGTGTGTGTGTGTACATGCCCAAGATCCTGAGAGGAGAATAGAGAAGAAGGGATTGCAATGTGGCCACCCCCAGGGGGTGATTTCTCAATTTTTGTCTCTCTTTCTCTCTCTGTCTTTCTGATGAGCACATGCACCCTATAGCAAAAACCTCTCAAAAATGAAAACAAAAACATAAAGACTGAAAGAACAGTTGCATAAGCAATAAAAGTTCATTGTTTTCTGCAAAAGAATGCCATAAATTTAAAACTAAAAGTCTAACATGTTTTATTAAAAATCTCCTTAGTGAGGCCTACAAGTCGTATGGTGGTTAAATCTCTGGACTTCCACATGGCCGAGGAGATTACACCATGCCACACTGGAATGGAATGGAATGCTCTCTCTCTCTCTCTCTCTCTCTCTCTCATCAGCACCCATGCCCTATTGCAAATTAAAAATAATGATAATAGATAAAATTAAATAAGTAATTCTTCAAACACTAACTCTTTGGTGGGATGGATCTATGGTCTACTAAATAAGGCATCTAAATTCCACATGGGCCCAAGTCCAAAACCCTGAGACCTTCAAAACATGCCAGGCATATATGCATGCTTGCATTCCCAAAATCCCAAAAGAATGGAGAAATAAAGTAGAGATTGTAACTCATTCCCCATGGGAGCACTTCTTTCCTCAGCTCTCATATTCTCTCTGTCTCTCTGGGAAGTTTACTTGCCTACCAGGAATAAAGTCTCTTTAGAATTTAAAAGTTTGGGGACCACAGATGGCATAATGGTTATGTTACTGGACTCTCATGTAGTTGACCGTGGTTCAAATCTCAGACCTGGAAGCTTAAAACTCCTTCCAGTGGTGTGGGCATGTATGCCCCAAATCCCAAGAGGAGAATGGAGGAGAAGGGATTATGGCATGACTATCTTTCCTGTGGGCGATTTCTCACTTATTATCTCTCTATTTCTCTCTCTCTGGCAAGAATACATGCTCTATAGCAAAAATCTCTCTAAATATAAAAGAATTTTAAAGTTTTAAATTTATTTGTTACAAATTATTTCTTTTTATGTCACATGACAGTAACACTTTTATCAAAAGAAGTCCAAAATAAAGATAAAGAACAAAACAAGTTTGGGACGAGCAGTTAGCGTAATGGCTATGTTGCTGGACTCCCATGTAATTGACTGTGGTTCGAGTCCCAGGCCTGGTGGCTTCAACTCATGCCAGGCTCATGTGCATGCATGTCCAAGATCTTGAGAGGAGAATGGAGGAGAAGGGATTGTGGCGTGGCCATCCCCCTGGGGGGTGATTTCTCACTTTCTGTCTCACTCTCTGTGTCTCTCTGGCAAGCACATGCACCATATAACAAACAAGCAAACAAATAAAAAACTCTTTAAAGAGGGGGAGAAAAGAACAAAACAGGTTTGTTCTTTTTAAAAGTTTTGTTGAGGTGCAAATAGTGTCCAAATAATTGCACATATTTAATGTCCATTTTTTGGATAAACTTGAAGAACTGTATACTTTTATACTACCCCTACCAGTATCAAAAATATAAATCTTTTCATACATATAGTGCCTTTTAAAAGTTTTTCCTACAAGGGGCCAGCAGGTGGCACAGTGGTCACAGTGTTGAACTCTGACATGGTTGACTGGTTCAAGTCTAAATCCTGGAGGCTTGCTTTCTGTTTCTCTCTCTCTCTGGTCAAATTTTAAAAGTAACCA